CTCTCTTTCTCTCTCTAAGCTCCAGCCACACCGCTCTTTTCTCAGGACCCCCAAGCCCTCACGCTTCTTCTTGCTTAAGGGCCTGTGCTCAGCTTCATCTTCCTTCCAGGAACTCTCTGCCTCACCCCCTTTCACCTTGCTGCCTTCTCCTTACCCATCAGGTCTCAGCTTAACCAGCGGGCCCTTGCAGAAGCCTGCCTTCTCTCTACAGACTAGGTCAGCCCCCTTGGTTTAGGCTTTCCTAGCACCTTTACTTCTTTCTAACACTCATCATAATTGTGATTGAAAATTAATTGAGTAATTACGTTCTTATTGTTTGACTTCCCTGCTGGAGTAAATGGTCCAAGGGGGAGGGTTATATATGCATGTTTTCTGTGTTCCCAACATCTATGATAGGAACTTTAGATACTAGAGTAGACAATAAACACGCGTTGAACGAATTGCCAAATAAAGAACTCGGATGAACTGAAAGTAGTTTTCCGTGAAGAGATTAACTACTCTTTAAGTCATCCTAAGGCCACTCTCCCTTTGACCATTACGAGCTATAACAGTTTGTCATAAACACTGTTGTTTTGAAGACACTAAGGATGCAGCACAGAGACAAAGTCTTCTTAGACTCAGAACAGCAAAAAAAAGTTCGATGATAAGAAAACTCATTGTTAACCTACAAAAACAGTGTATTTTATCTTGGTCACGTTCAAGGCTTACTTCAGTTAAGCGTCCTCATTTTTTGGCGCTTTTAAGAGTATATGATGAGGTCATCGAGGGGAAGTTGGGAGGAGAGAGAGAGTGGTGTGTTTTTCTGACAAACACCAGTCTATGCGATGTCTTTGCTGGCTTGGATTCACAGGCAGAAACAAACAGCCTGGCAGCTGGCTGTCCACGCGCTCATCATGCCTTGTTTTTTGTTCTCTGTAATAAAAGGACAGCACGTATCACATAATGGTACTCACTAGAGATATATGTTGGATTAATGAATGAATGAATGAATGAATGGATGAATGAATTCTCAAGCACTAGGACATTGGATGTTTTATCCCGTAGCTGGCAACCACCACATTGCAAATATTATCTTAACTGTGTATTGGAAAAGTCAGGCCCCCTAATTACATTAAAACTGATAAAATAACAAGGAGAGAAAATGAGGAAGAGAGAGATTGATTCTTGGGAGAAAGAGAACGATTTGATTAAAGCCACAGCATGGATGAGGTCTCAAAACTCCAGGCAGGGAGTACCTCCTGACAATGAGGGCGAAGTTTTGTGTCCTTTGTGTGTCCTGTGCCTCAGACACATTATGATATATTGCTCTCAATCTTTTCTTGTTGACAATCTCTATTGGACTCCTAGTCACTAACTAATTCTCTTGCCTCAAAATTTTCTCTCATTCTTAATCTTTGCCTGGAAGATCAAGAGGAGAACTAACACAATTTTCCCCACTCCTAATTTACTTTCTATGATTCCCGTCAAGACGGCATCTTATGCACAAGCTTATTCAGCAGCTCCAAGTTAGCTTAGCCTCCAGCAGTCTTCAGATTTTTGGTTGCCTCAGCTTTCCCAGGGTGAGCTGAGGACGATGCTCCTCATGTGTTCCCAGTCCTGGGAAATGGCATCATGTTTCTTGCAGATGTCCAAGCCAGGAACCTGAGCCCATCTCAGAATGCCATCGCACCTTCTCCCTTCAGACCTACTCAGTGACCAGGTCCTCATTTGCCTCTGAGACATTTTTCAAATCTACTCCTCCTCTTTATCTCCATTATCCTCCCTCAGTTAGTCCCTCAACCTCTCTCATATTGACCATGCCTCCGGTTTTATCCCGATTCTGGTCCTGTCCCCATACACCCCTTCTCTCTATTGTGGCCAGAAGATATATCTAAAATGTGAATGCGGCTACAAACTTTCTTTCCTTAAAAGCCCTGAAGTAGCCAGACCCAGACAAAGCCCAAACTCCTTAGCATGGCATGTCAGTAGATCTGTTCATTTTATGCCTGTTGTACCAGCTTATTTATTAGTAACATTCCTTTTCACTCTCAGAAGTGTTCCAATTTGGATGGTAAATTATATAGTCACCCTGAATATAAAGCCTTTTATGAAAATCTGACTTCTACCTACTTCTCCAGCTCTATCTTCTGCTCATCACTTCCTGTGCTTCCTCCTTAGCCTGGAGCAAGATGACTGTAGCAGTTCAGAGAATCACAGACAGATGTGACAGTGTGTAACGGATGAAGGCAATTATTTTCTCTCCGTTGATTTCTTGGGAATGAGGATACCTTTCCAAGAAGCCCTCGGTTCACTTCTCAAGTCTAATTGTCAAGGACTGAGTCACATGCCCTTTCCTGAATGAGTTACTGGCAGGCAGAATAGAATTACTGTGATTGGTTTTGCTTGATCATTTGGGGGTGGAATAGATGTTAGGGAATAGACAACAATTGTGACTGCAAAATCAATCTTAATTGAATTTGTCTTCGAGTCTGTTTATCCCACTAGACAGCAAAATCCTTGAGATCGGGGCCTTGCTGGAGCCCCTAGCACAGTGCTTGACATTTGCCATTTTTGTCGTTATTGAACTTTCGGATGGAAGTAAGCAAGGTGGTATAATGTAGTGGGGAGAACAGGTGCTTTGGATCTAGAGAAACAGGCTTGATCCCAACACCCTACTTGGCACCTCTGTAGGATCCAGCTGGACTTCTGAAGTTCGCATCTCTAAACTTGAGATTTCTCATCTGTCAAATGAAGCAAAGATTACCTCCTGAGAGTGCATGTAACCTATATAAAGCGGCTGAACAGCCACAAATATTTCCCCACCCTCTTACCATTTCTGTCATTTTACCCTAAGAACTTTTTTGAGTAAGGCTGTTGCCACTTTTGTGTGTGTATGCGTGTGCATGTGGGAATACCTATAAGGAGAATATCCTCTAAGAAAAATGTCATTCGTTCTATTGCCATTTGGAATTTGTAAGATCTTTGCTGAATATTTGACCTATATGAGATAAAAAGCTTATCTTACTCTAGTTTTAATTCTAAGTCAGTGTTTCAGAAGTATGCTTAGTGAATTGATTTATGGGCTCTGAAGATGATTTATGGACACAGTTTCGTGGTCGTATCATTTAGGGGAATTCAACATGACATAATTCCCCCCTAGACATTCATCATAACCTAAGCATATTAAAGACTTAGAGAGGTTCCATGGTAGAGAAATTTGTTTTCATTGTTTAACTCAGGTTATCCCAAATTTATTTTAACCCAGAGTCCTTTTTTCCTATAGCACTTAGCAACATCTTTTGGAATACCCTTTGGGAAATTATATTAGTCTATTAAATAATATCCCAACTCTCAAGATCACTTGCTTGGACCTGCCATCTTTGCCACTAGGAGAGTCATTGGTTTACACAGAGTGAACAAACTTTCAACTCTAAACCAAAATCGTTGGTGGGAAATTCACAAAAACGAGTATTTTCACTTCCTGTTTGTTTTGAAGAAGTCATTTCACACCTCTGGACTGAAGTGAAACTGGATTCCTACAGTCTTTGTCAACTCTAATATCCTGTGGAAAAATTCCAAGATGGCTAGTATAGAAAAGATGAAGACGGTTATTTCTATGTTACTAAAAACAGGTTTGTTTATTTTTTAGTATATTTAGGATCAAATGATAATGTAGGAGTTAGCTGTAGAACTCTTCAACCTGGGGATTCTGATCACTCTGAACCAGATTTCAGGGAGTATATTCTCCTGAATGTGAATTATTTGCAATCTCTGGAGAGTTGGCTCCGAGAGTTGGAGAGATATGTATGGGTGAATGATTATTGCTTGTTTTCTATAATGAAGGACTGTCCTTTGGGAATCAGTTGTTACAAAAGGAGAAAAAGCTACTCCTCTTATTGCCGCTCAGATAATTCAGAAAGAGTCTTGATTTTAGAATTGAGGGCCCTGTTGTGTTTTTAATACAGGGACTTGTTTATATTTTGGTCATGACACCACTAGTCAGTGCTTCTGCTACAAGGACAAGGGGATTACGGAGCAGCAAACTTAGGTGTCAGCTTTTGTGTATATGAGAAGTCCCCATCGGTTTGGTAAGGGACAGAGTTAAGACTATGAGGTAACATGCCCTAACGTTCCCAGTAATTCCTAGAGGAGCCCTATCTTACTGGTCTCTTTCCAGCTGTAACTTTTAATTCTCTTCCTGCGTGTGTTAAATGCCTTCCTTTTTAATCCAAATTTTACTAATCTCATTTCCCTTTTACTTTAGGACCCAAGTTACATTTATTTATTTATTTATTTATTTATTTATTTATTTATTCTCATATCTAGATGGACCTGGATGAAGACTCCACTGAAAAATTTACCAAATTTGCTAGAACTTGAACGTATTAGGGCAACTATTCAAATCTAATATCTAAAATCGCGGATGAAGCTCTCTGAAACATGATCGCCTCCCACTGGCGTGCTGAGAGCCGCTGCATTGCTGGTGCGAGCATTGGTGGTGAGCCACCATCTGAGACCATGGGGCACCTTCCTTCTATAGCCATTTTTTGAGAAGACTGTTGTGTGTGAGTGTTTGTGTCCCCCCTAGGGAAAACAAGGGAAAAATTCTTTAAGAAAAATATTATTCAGACACAAATTCTCATACGTATTCTACAAAATTCTACCTGATCTTTTGTTTAATAAAATTAAAATAATTATTGGAATCACTAATTATTCCGCTCATACTGTCCTACTTGCTGAAGCTTAAGCTAAGAGGGAAATGGGCTGACAACTCCATGATGGCTCTGCTGGCACAGACATGTCCACTTTCTGTTGCTCTCTCCACCCCTGTAAAGACACATCAGTCACTTGGTTTAACAGTCTTAGCTTTTGTCCTTTACTTTTGAGTACATGGTCTATACCTTTTGTCTCATTTCTTTCGCCTCAATATGAACAAATAGTCCTCAACAAGAGTGTTCAAAATTTTCCAGTAGTAAATAGTATCTTTATATACCACTTGCACATATTTTCTCATTATCACACACTTTTGAAATAGTATTTTATTAATAATAATTTTGAGTTGAGAGAGTCCATCCTAGTATTGGGTTTGATTCCAAACAACACGTGTGGAGTGTGTTTGGAGTCTTGGGATATATCCGTATGTGTTTTCCTTTTACCAGGAAGTTTTCTTCATTGTCCAGTTTCATGGTACAACTTGAATGGAATTAAAATTGAGCCATTTAAAATAACCGAACTAATTACAGGCATGTGCTGCGTAACGATGTTTTGATCAATGATGGACTGCATATACGATGGTGGCCCCAAAAGATTAGTACCACATAGCCTAGGTGTGTAGTAGGCTATACTATCTAGGTTTGTGTGAGTACACTCTATGATGTTTGCACAAGGACGAAATTGCCTAACACATTTCTCGGATCATATCCTGGTCGTTAAAAGACGCATGACTGTACATTAAATTTCATTGACATTTTCTGATTGATTGATGCCTACCATTAGTATACAGATTAGCAACACATTCACAACTGTGGTGGGAAGATGGGAAAATCATTCATATTGCATCTAATTAGGTAAAACCTTTTTTCCTGTAAATCTTAAGTGGGCCACATCCCAAGCCACATGTGAGATGAGGACCAAATAATAAATACCTGTGCTCCTTACAGTAAATGTGTCCTAGCACGGCACCTCTCCATATACATTAGATTGAGAAATCTCAACTTGGTGAGGTGTACACATGGGATGGGTTTCTTTTGTCTCCCAATAACTACTACTAACTTTGCTTATCCCAGTCTGATGCAGTAACTTGCAGTCACTTCTGTTTTAAAAGTTTCATTTCTGGTAGATGGTCTTTCAGCCACACTTGGGTATTATTAATTATCATCCTTGTCAGATTGAAAGTCCTCTTTCTCTGTCCCAGCAGAGCTTGCCTCAAGTGGAAGAGCCGGGCCTGGCCTCCCCTCTCTCCCTCCTTCTACCTTCAATGTCCAAATGCCTGCCCAGGGGTGGGGATGGCGTGAAGGATGGAGTTGGCTCATGCAACAGTTCACACTCCTCTGGCTTCCCTTTTGTCTGCAGCTGCTGTCGTTGGTGACGTGGGGCTATTGACCTCTGCTTGGACTGGACCTAGGCTTCCATTGCCCCATGCTCTTGGTGTGGGGGCAAAGCACTCCCTCTGTCCTGTCTTCAGGGCTGTTTCACTCTCAGAGGGGCTGGTCCCTCTAGTGTTACTGGTAGCAGCTTACCCAATTTCACCACCCACACTGAGGATTGTGGGAACCATTAGGGCCCCCCTCGGCAGCCTCCAAAACATCCAGACCTTGGGTGAGAAGCCAAACTCTGAGAGTTTCCAGATGCCTCTGCCTCAAGGGGAAAAGTGGATTCCCTCCCCACTGGATGGGTTCAGGTAATGGTGAAAGCCCCCCTTTTCCTCATGATGGAGTAGATGGACAAGACACTGTCTCTCCTCAAGACATCTCTAAATCAATGAATGAATCTAGTAAGAATTGTCATGGTCCCTCAGAATCGAAGTATGGGTTTTTCCTTTTTGCCATTTCTTTCTATTTTTATTGTTAAAGATTTTTATTTGTGGAGTTGAAAAGTATTTCATAACTGAAAATGAGGGCATAAGTCATTGGACATTGTGTCATCCCCCCACCCTCTTGGAGAGAGAAGGATGGTACAGGAAAGCAGCATGGGGGCCTTTGTTCCTCACTCACAGTCGGGTATGGAGAGAGCCATTTTGCTTATCATGAGCCTCAATTTTCTTTTCTGTAAATTGGGGGCAATTATCTCACTGATTTCCTGTCTCAGAGGGATTTTCCCAAGATTTAATAGAATGGTATATAGGTCGGGGTCTTTTAACCCTCCTACCTGGGTTGTGACAACCAAAAATGTCTCTGGATATTGCCAAACGTCTTTTGGGGAGCAGATTTATCCCCAGTTGAGACCACTGGTATGAATGAATGACTTTAAGCTAATTGGGTACAAGCCATCCTTGAGCTCAATATGCCTCATGAAGATGAGAGACTTAAACTGTTCTTTGGAATTTAATGAGTTAGACCAAGCAAGGCCCCACGCAGCAACCTTCCCTTTGATTGTGTTGAGTTGTACCAAGAAAAGCCTTGTATCCATGGTATTGAAGAAGGAAAATGTATCTGACTAAATGATAAGCCTATATAATCTATGTGGTTAGAAGATTTGTAAATGCACAACTTTGTGGCAATGCATGAAATGTCCTTTGAAATAGAATGTATAAAATATTGGCATTAGAAATACAGACAGATCTGGTCCATCCAATATAGGAAGATACAAGCATGACAGCAAGGAGGAACATGCAGAATGTTTATTTCTCAGGTTCGCCAGACTGAAGTGTATTTAGAACCGGGGGTGTTTAATTAAGTGGAGCAGAGCCCTAGACTGAGGTCATGCTCCCTGCTGCCTTGGTGGCGGCCCTGTCTCCAGTGATGGTGAGCACAGAGAAAAGACCCATTTAGAAGTGGGATAAATCATTTTGAGAACTCATCTTTCAAGAGGGTGATTGTACTGGAGACAGACAGGGTTTAAATAGCAGACAAGGAGATAGAACATAGAATAAAGGGCTTGCGCAGTTTGCAGAGGAGCTTCTCCCAGCTGCGCGTCCCTATTCCTGCTGGCCCCGTCATGGCTAGCGTACATAGATTAAGTATTCATCAATCCATTTTGTCACCCCTGGCCTGCCTTCCCCAGATGCTTTGCTTCTTGGAAGAAAATGTTAGAGGGAGCACATTTCTTGTAGTGTTCATTAATCTTTTATTCGGATCCAAAGATTTAATAGTATCAAGTTGAAAGTGGGAACGAGAAAACGAAAATGGAGCTACCTGGAAAGGAAAGAAGCAAAAAAAAGGGCTTCAAGAAAGAGCCCAGAGCTGTGGCAGGAGAGCAGGTTTTATTTATAGACCATATGATAGTACATACGTTCAATGGAGTTCCCATGCTCGCTGTTATATGTGAAACTAAAACAAACAGAAGAGCTATGCCATTCTGCCAGCAGGTGGCACCATAAGAACCTCCTATAACAAAGGAGTCGCCACCACCCCTACCCCCCCCACCCCGCCCTTAATATTTTTCCCTTCAGGAAAAGTCATCAATGTAGATTTATATTTTTGATGACATTAGCAACACATGTGCATCGATTAAAGTGTTTTCAGAAGATTCGTCTCTCCCCTCATTTTTTATGTACTAGCATTGCTCATTCAGTGAAAGATTATATTCCAGTAAAAGAAAAAAAACCTGAGGGTTTAAAATAAAATTGACATATATATATTTTGTGTTGCTGACTACAGTCACTTGAGGAACGCATTTCTTTAGCGATTATGATACATGTTATTGTGAGGTTTATTAGATGTCTAGAGAGGAAGTAACTGAGATGTTCGCCCTGTTCTCACACCCCTTTCCTGCTCTGAACTACAAGGATTCCTTGTGCCCGAATATCTCCCCAAGGCTAAGCAATCTCTCAGACTCAGGAGGGACCCTGTGCCGGAGGTAGTGGGCGTTTCTGACCTTTGCAAACAACTCTAAGTAGGTTGACGTTGTGGACTTGACTTTGAAGTTTCCTGCACATTCCATGGGGTTCGGGGGAATTTGTTTCCCAGTGTCGTGGTCCAGGTTTCCATCGGCATCTTTTGATCTGGTCTCATCAACATGTGCCATTCCACTGTCACCAGCTGGGCTGGAACTGAGGCCTTGGTCTGGGGTTTGGGTAGAGACTTCTTGATCTTGACATAAAAGAGAGATGCCCGTATTGGCGTCTTTGCCCTTCGGTGGGTTTATAGAATCGTTCTCTTGGGCTTGTGACTTCTCTTCTATGAAGTCGGGAGTTTTGTCGTTTTGAGATGGCAACTGCTCTTTGCTTCTCCTGGGGTCCTTGAGGCCAGTGCGATGGAAAGGAGGCATCTGGGACTTGGTCTTGTATATTTTGGGGGTCACACTTGCTGCCAGAGCTCTGGGAAAGGAGGTACAAAGAAGAAAGATCTCTGAAAAACAATGAAGGGGCTCATGTTTTGAATTTTCAAGCTGTTAGACGGTGGCCCCCTTCAGGGTGGCATCAGCTGGGGTAATAAAGTGGGTGAGAATTCGTGAGGACAGTGTGAAGGAAACGTCTCTGTCTTAAGAAGGGGAAGGCAGCATTACCTCAGGGAGAGGACATTTAAAGAGGTCAATTGGGAAGAGGGATTCCATGCCATATCCATCAGTTTAGTAAGCATTTTCTTACCTAACTTTATTAGCCTGTGGAACTCTGTGCTTCTGCTCCCCGTGTGGTGAGAACACGAGAACATCTTCTGGTCTTTGCTGAATCCCATTTCCAAAATAAGAGGAGAACTTTTTCTTGATGATATCTGCTTTGAGTTAATAAATAAGTATTATGGGTTGAACTGTGCCTTCCCCAACTGTCATATGTTAAAGTCCTAACCGCTGGTACCTCAGAATGTGACCTCATTTGGAGATAGGGCCTTTCCAGACATAATCAAGTTAAGATGAGGTCATTAGGATGAACCTTAATCCAATATGACTGGTGTCCTTCTAGAAAAGAGAAATTTGGGCACAGAGTCACAGATAGAGGGAAGACGATGTGAAGAGACACAGGGAGAAGATAGCTGTCTGCAAGCCCTGGAGAGAGGTCTGGAATAGATCCTTTTCTCACAATCCTCCTAAGAAACCAACCCTGCCAACACCTTGATCTTGGACTTCCAGCCTCTAGAGCTGTGAGACAATAAACTTTCCTCGATTAAGCTACCTAGTCTGGGTACTTTGTCATGGCAGCTCTAAAAAACTAATATAGTAAGAGAAGAAGGAAAAGAATGCTGGAAACTGGTTCTTTGGGCGGAGAACCAGTATATGAATACCCTCAGATCACATTACACATTGCATTGATCTAGCATGATAGGTAAAAACAGAAAAACTTAAAGCACTTCTCCAGTGTTTGTCTAGAATATGTTAATGAGGCTTTAGAAACACCGAGATCAGAGGTTCAAACTGGCTAGGCCCAGAGGTTTTGTTTGAATGTTTTATTTGGCAAGCATGGTGTTTTCAAAACAAAATAACTGGGTGTGGGCAATACTTGGAGATGGTGTCCCCATTGTTTCATTCACCTCCATTATGTGACCTCCTGCCCACCTGAGCCATGAGTTGCAACTATGATTAAGTGGATTTTTCACTCGCTGAGCTAATGTTTTAGCATCTTGCAGTCATAGCTGCTAAAGAGGACCCAGTTAGTTTTTGAGACATCTCATGAGATGATGACTTGGGGTTGAAAGTCTTGCACTAATGGGAGTGAGTTCCCTAAATCTACACTGGAGTTAGTAGGCAGCAGGCAGAGGGAATATGACCAGATAAGGGGCCTAGAATTCACATTAAACTCCTAATATCCTTTCATCCTATCACTTCTTTGTGAGGTAGTCGAGATAAGAGAGAGTCCTTCGTGGGCCCCTCCTCTGTTGTCTCCTTGTGTGTGTGTGCGTGTAAGTGTGTGCTTGTGGGTGTGTGTTTTTTCCATCTAAGAACTTCATCTATTCCCTATAAACTAAGAAATTTTGAGCTACTTCTCCCAACTAGGTCACTCTTCCTCATTTTAGACCTGTAGAGCCAACATATTCAGAAACGAGCTATCTTTTCTCTGAAACGCGATCTTTCTCCAGTGTTCCCTCTGTGAAGGCAGGGTACCTGAATCCGTCCAGTTATGGAACTTAAGTGTGTTTGAGTGCCTACTTTGTGCCAGACAATACACTTGTGACTCTGATTTTCTTTACCTTTGACATATAATTAATCTTAAAGCTCTGACGATTCCGCTTTCTAATTATCTCAAGATCATGATCCAGTCAAGATGCAATTCCACTCTCTAAATATCTCAAGATACTCATTTTCTCCCTCTGGCCAATGCCCTAGTTTAGGCCTTCAAACCCTAGCCTGGCCTTTGGAACTCTCCTATCAAGTCTACTGTAAACACTGCAGCCAGAGTGATCCTTCTAGAACTGGAACATGTAATCTCCCCACTCCCAAACCCCATAGGGTGAAATCCAAACTCTTCTGCAAGACCTGTGAAGCTATTCATGATCAGAGACACTGCCTACACCGCTTTGACTCTAAACACGGCACCTACACCTTCTCCTCACCCCTTACATGCCCCTGCAGTACTGACTTATCTGTAGCAAGCCGGGCTCAGGCATGCGCCTTTGTGCATACTGTCCCTTCTGCCAGGAGTGGCCTCATTCCACATGTCCTCATGACAAACTGCCCCCCTCCTGTCTCCATTCTCCTCCTCCTCTAAGATCCTACCTACCCACTGCCTCTTTTGGGAAATCTTACCTGAGGCCCTTTTATAGACATAAGAACCTCCCTATGCTCCTGCTCTACTTTGTAAGTAGCTCTAATTTAGCAATTCACATTTTCTATCATAATTTTTGCAAGAACAGCTACCTTCCCATTTAAATGTGAGCATCTTGCAGTCATGGACCATGTCTTTTTGTATTTACATTCCTGCATCTATCTGAGTAGCTGTTCTAGTGTTTTGTAAAGTCTGGTCCACAAAACACCTGTCCAAGAATAATCTGCCTCTGTGAAAAATGTGGATATTGAGCCTAATTCCTAACCTACGGATCCAAATCTCTACAGATGAGGACTGGGGATATGCATTTTACACAATCCACCAACTGGTATATAGTTGAATCTCAATAACAATTTTGTTAAGTGAATCATGTAGAAATATTGCCTAGTACAGTGCCTGATAAACACTGAGACAATACATACTGTTTCCTTCCCTTTCCCCTCGTTTTACTGTGAAGAAACCTGAGACTCACAGAGGATATGATTTTCCAAAGCACATGGAGACAGAGGCCCCTGAATCAAAGTTTTCTGACTCCTGGTCCAGACTCTTTCCACACCACCTGTCACTGAAGCAGACTCTGCTGAGCGAGGACAGCCACCTACCGAGGGCCTGGCCTTGTGCACATCCTCCTGAGAATAGGTATCTGGTCTTCAGAGTTCTTTTTGAGAACTGAGGTGGGTATTAACCAAATGGCTTCTAGGATCCTTTTCCAGGATTACAGACAGGGACATTGAAAGCAGAGAAGTTCAGTTACTTGCTCAGAGTCAGCTTTCAAACCCAAAGCTGGAGGTTAGAAATAATTCCCAGGCCAGAGGTTCGGACATTACTCTTGGCTCTTGTGTCCATATATTAGCTGTGTAGGCCTGAAAGATTTTACGTTAAAGCATGACACCTGGCTGTCCTCTTTAACATGCCATATCATTTTCAGAGCTCTTGAGTTCTGGCACCTGCCTTAAGTAAGAAGAGACTGTAGTTTTGAAGAGCTGAGATATATCTATTCTAGGCTGAATTTTGAAGTAATATTAAAATCTAGTTATTTTAATGATGAACAAAGGAGAACTACTTTCTAAAAACTATACACTATGGCAATATTCAACAAAACCGTGGAAGAATTTCAATTCTGTAACAGTCTTTGATTGATTGAGAAGAGTAAACTCTTACATAGCATTTACTTTGTGTTTCGGTACTGTTCCAAGTGCTTGACGAATCTTCAAATAATTTCTTGAGATAGGTAATATCATTTCCATTTTACATTTGAGGAAACTGAGGCACAGACAGGTCCAGTAAACTGCCCATGACCTCACAGCTAGTAAGTGACAGAGCCAGGATTTCAACTCTGACATTTTGGGTCCAGAGTCTGTGTTCTTAGTCACCATGTTTTCACTGTTTTTACTGACTAGCGTAGACAGCTTTGGAAGGTCTGAGATTCTGGACAGCATTGTGTAGCCCTTCCCTCTATGATGATGGGTAACTACTAACTAGGAACTAGTTTTTGAAGCTAGTAATGTTATTCTTGTTATAACGGCTTAACTGTGTTGTCTGTGTTAATTGGATAATCTTCTAAGGGATGCATACATTTGGAAAGGGATATTCTTAGGAGACAGGAGGTTTTATGAGAGAGCATTATTATAAAGAATATGAGCACATGACTAACAGGCAAAGAGGCCTCTTTGGGGAAATGACAGAAATATTTGTCCTCTGGCTTAAGAAGACAAAGAAAACACAGTATTGCTGTGCTACAATTGCCTGTTTGAAATTTTCTAACCTAAGCAAAATCTGCAGGCTCTAGTGTGAAGACACATTGGAGAACAAGGAGGGTAGGGCCTGAATGTCAGATGGGTGAGTGTTGAAATTTGCCAAAGGCTCCTTTCTGAGCCCCATAGAGGCCAGCTATAATTATATACTGCTCTCTGGTCAATAATCCCAAGGAACTTTTTCTTAACTTCCTTTTTATAAGGTGACTTGCACGTTAATCATCACTCAATGAATGGTTGTTGACTAGGCATAAAAAGGAACGAAACCAAATCAACCCAGGTATAGTGAAAGGAAAGCAGAATGAAAAGTGAAAGAAGAGGGTAGAAAACTAAAGATTTAAGCAAGAGAGAGCTAATTTGAAAGACCAAAGTGACTGGAAGCTGAGAAGTGTTAGCTCCAGAAGGTTTGCATGTGGGCTGCTCCAGGGAGCTGTGTCATTGAGGGAGGCAGGGACATGGAAGGGTGGGCAGCCTAAAATCCAGGTTGAGATCAGAAGTTCTTGCTTCCATGGTATCCAGGTCTCTGAAAGGGCTCTCATCCTGAGCTGAGGGCGTTATTCTCAGCCCGGTGATAGCTTGCTGCCCTGCTCTGCCACTTCCCAGGGCCGGAAGCCTTACCTTGCTGCAACCTCTGCAGTTCTTTCTGGAGCTGTCTCTGCTCCCTGGTCAGCAGCTTCATGTGGTACAGACAGATATCCTCTAGTCTCTGCAGTCTTTGGCTGAGTCTAGCCTCAGCCTGCTTGGCGCTCTTCCTCTCCCAATCGAAGTGCTTATACAGTGGTCCCCTGACCATGTGCCTCTCCATCCTCTGCATGGTCTAGAGACAATAAAACAAGATTCTCCCAGGCACCACAACTAACCTGATAAAGCAAGACTGGAACCTGACCCCTGGCTTTTAATCAGAGACCAGAGTTTCAATCCTGTGTTATTTCTGAATCCACAGCTGCCTGGTCAGATGAAGCCACACTATTGGGAAATTTTGCCTTACAGTAAAATGAGTTTCCATATTGAAATAGAAGGATTGAGGGAAGTTTTCCCCTGAACCTCAGACTCCTTGCCAATAAAATAGTGCTAGATGACAGACTCCCTACACAGCCTGCATTCAGAGTGTAAAGATCGAGTGAAAAGTATATGAACAATTTTTGGGGAGAACAAAATAGGAACACTTTACATATATAAGGCATATTTGCCCAATGAGAGAAGTCCCTTCTGTTATTCCGTAAGGCTCCCAAAAAGCCTGCTCAGAGGTCTGTAGAGGATTTGCGGTCTTAAGGCAGAGCCATTCTAGGACCTCTGCAGTTCATGCATTCACATATGCATGGATCTATGAAGCCTGAAATCCTACTACGTGCCAGGTGCTATGCTAAGAGCTGAGGGTACTGGTGAATGAAACACAGTCCCAACTCTCAAGGGACTTACAGACTTGTGATTCTGGAGTCTCATAATGCATGCCAAATCTGAACAATCCATATTTCAAAGTGCGAAGAGTGGGATCTACTGGTCACAAAACAGCACAGGCCTCCAGAACAAGTAGACTGGGCAGCACCAGTGAAACAGTGGATTGGACATAATCTCCTCTTCCTGCCCTCCCCCATTTTCTCAGAACTGTGACCCTCTCCACCCTTCTGGTACCCTGATTATGAACGCCCACGCTAACTTCCTCCTCTGAGCTCTACAGCACTAATGGGCAGGGACTCATCTTTCCTCTTCTTTGAGTCTTTCACAATACTTATTTCAGAGCCAAGAGCACAATCTGCGCCCGGGATATGAATGGATTGTTATCAATAAGGCTTTGATAATAATAATACTGGAAAAAAGCTTACCATTAAAAGGGAGGTTAAAGTCAAGACACAGGAAGGAAAGTTTAAGACAGCTTGCTTTATAGTCTAAGGTGTAGACTAAACTTTTATTAAAAAACAGGGTATCGCTTACCTACAAACCCAGGGTTCTCACCATGAGAATGCTGCTTGTTTCTTTTGCTGTCAGGCTGAGTCTTCAGTAAACTTAGGCGTTTGGCGTTGGCGGGGAGGGAAGGAAAGGGACTTTTGGAGAGGGCCCCGGGGTAGAATGCTGAATCCACTTGAAAGCTCTCTTTCAGGCCACCTCCCTTAATTAGGAATGCTAGCTCCCAGGGTGTGGGCACCAATCCCAGAGCTCTAAATAGCTCTGTGAGTTAAGGAAGCCTGCCAGCTTCCAGCCCTCCCCTAGAAAGGCCCACAGTGCTCCTACTGGGCCGTGTCCATGGGAGCGGAGAATGAAAGCAAGGAGTGTCTTACTGTGTTCTCAGTCTCTCTCTCCCTCTCCCTCCCCATCCCCCTGCTCCTCTTTTCCCATATTTCCTGCACCTCCCCGCCCACCCACTTCTACTTTTTAGAAACCAGGTCAGGCCCCAAAAGAAGGCACTCTTTTTTTTTCATCAGATTGTGCGTATTTTGTGCAGGAGAGTAGTTAATTGGTTTATTTTGCATTGTTACACACTGCATTGACTTTTTCCAGGCTTCTATCCATGTTTTGTGTACTTCAGTGCTTATTAAGATTTTCAAGTTGCGACAACAGAATTAGGCGAAGTGAAATTTAAATTAACTTTTGTGACTCTATTTTCGACAGCTGCAGTAGAAGGCCAGTTGAACTATTGTTTACGGACCAAGATATTAAGTGGAATTTTTACTGTTGCCTTGGGGCTTTATCTGAAAACCAGAGGCACTGACGTGTCCCAGTCTAAAGAAAACTGCCAACACTGGTGCCTCTTGAGCCCCTCAGAACTTACTGAGAGGCAGCTAAACAGGCCCCATTACCTCCAGTCAGCACCTAGCAAAAAAGGAGAGGGAGAGAGAAAGCCATTATTCTCACAGTGGGAGGTAACTCTTTTCCCATCTCTTCCCATGAGGTAATTCTCTCACCTCTAGAATTTTAATGAATAAGGTGGGGTTCCAAGAAATCCCCACAGAGAATGGGAGGCCTCCACAAGGAGAGACTGGCACCTCCCTCCCCAGTGGGAGACTTGATGAACTACAGAACTACGGAATAGCCCCCCTCCAACCCTTTGTTGCCCCCAGAGCTGACGAGTGAGGGATTTCTTAGAAAAGCTTGGTTACTCGTGTCCTCTTGAGACAGAGCTGAAAAGGAGAGGCTTGCATAAATAATCCAAGGCTGAAGAGCAGGAATGAGCCTTCTTGTGGCGAACCTGGGAAGGGAATGGTGGCCCAACCCATCCTAGTTCCCCTGGCCCCTTGAGAGAGCCTGAGAGGACCTCAGCAGTTTCCTGGCTCCTTGTGAAGGAGCACGGGGTTATATAAGGGAGCAGAAACCATGGAATTGCCTCTGGAAGATTCTAGGTCAAATAAGGTAATACTTTACCCAGAGTGGGCGTAGAATCACAGACAGGGCCAGAGGCGGTCTGACTGAAGGGGAACTTTTTCACAAAAACAACACATCTTAAGAGCAGAGGACAGCAGAAGCACATGGAACAAGGCTAGTCAGGGAAAGACCAGTAATGCCTCAGCACCACCAAAGTAGCAGTTATGTAGGAAGAGCTCTGCCTTTTCTGTTCCCCTTCTATCCCACAACCTCTTGGGGTCAGGCATTGGAAAGACAAGGGAGAGGAGGTACACAAAACAACACCATATTCGCCATTCCACTGCAAGGGGTTGGAGAGGGAAGAATGATAGAACAGGTCATCTTCCGTCCCGCTTCCAAGTCCAGTGAGGAAAGAGTTTAAATTGCTTATGAGATTGGAACCTCAAATGGACTGGACTTTTTTTTCTAACCAAAGTGGCCAGAAATGTGCAGAATCTGCCCCATGATATCATTAAGGGACAAGACAGAAAAATCACAAAGATGGTGATTGGAAATGTAAAAGTGTCATTCCTGGATCATGTCCCTGCCATCACCACTAGGGAAAGAAGCTTAAACTGCTCATTAAAGTGGTGATGATTAAAATGAGTGTTACAGAATGGATATTATTTATTCACATTCATAAACTTTTCTATCTCTCTGTTTTATATGGAAGCAGCACGCTTTTGTAGTCAAACACATCTGAGATCAAACAGTTATTTTGTCATTTAATAGGATGTATGACTTTATTCATTAATCCTGTTATATCCCCTAGCTTCCTCATCCATAAAAAGGGTTAACAGTATCTTCATCTTAGGACTTTTGATAAAATTGAATGAACGAAAGAATGTAAGGTATTTTGTGTGTAATAGATATTCAATAAAAGTTACCTCCTGGTTTCTAGCAAAGAGGGAGTAACAGGGACTAGATTTACTCTTCTGAATGAAATAATTTAAAAATCAGACAAATGTATGAAAAGATGTTATCTTTTTTTTGATATTTGACATCAGGCTGATAGGGTGGTCATCCCTGAGAGAGTAGAAACGAACCAGGGGACCCCTATTATTGCCACAACATACTGCCTGCAAAGAGTTTCCAGGCCACCTCACAGGGAGGGGGTGGCCAGGCAGTGGATTCTCTGAGCCGAGGAGACAGAGCTAGAAGTCTAGAAAGGCCAAGACAGCTAGGTTTAGCAGGGCAGAGAACCAGATCCAAGATGCTTAATTAATTCCAAGCAAAAGAAATATGAATAAAACTACTCCAAAATATATAAAATAAAATTTATAAAAAAAGTAATAATCTGAAAAACAGAGAGAAAAAAAGGCACATTACAAACAGCGGAACACAGGTAAGAATTAGAGCAGAAGTCCTTTCAGAAACAATGCAAGCCAGAAGATAGTGGAGCAAGACTTTTAAAGTTCTGAAAGAAAAAAAACAATTAAGCTAGAATTCTATACTCCACAAACATATCTTTCAAAAGCAAAGGCAAATTGAAGAATTTTTGAGGCCTACAGAAGCATCAATAATTCTTCATCAACAGACTGACAGTTCAAGAAATGTTAAATGCAATCCTTCAAGTAGAAGGAAGATCACACCAGATGGAAATCCAAATCTACACAAAGAGATGAAGAGCCCAGGAAATAGTAACTACATGAGTAGGTATAAAGATAATTTCTCTTATTATTTCAGTCTCTTTAAAATATAATTGACTGTTCAAAGCAAAAAGTAATAAAATATTGTGAGATTTATAGCACATGGGGAAGTCGAATGCGTGGCAACAATAGTATAATGTCCAGGTGGAAAGAAAGTATACTGTTATAAGGTTCTTATGCTATATGTGCAGCAGTATAAAATCAGTTGAAGGTAGACTGTAATAAGTTTAATCTGTATACTCTAAACCCTAAAGCAACCACTAAAATAATATAACAGAATTATAACTAAGTCAACAAATAAGTTAAAATGGAATCATAAAAGAATCTAAATCTAAAATATGACAGAAAAAGGAAACAGGGAAAAAAGAGTTTGAATATACAGGAAATAGATGGCAAGATGATAGATTTAAACTGAACATTATTAAGAATCACAATAAATGTAAATGGTTTTAAAGTCCCATTAAAAAGCAGAGATTGTCAAAACAAATAAGAGAACAAGACCACACTATACAATGCTGACAACAAAACAAAGCAAAACACAATTTCAGTACCACACAAATACGTGAAAAATAGAAGGATGGAAAAAGATATATCATACTAACACTGATTAAAAGAAATCAGGGATGGCTATGTTAATACGTAACAAAATAATTTTCATAGCCAAGAATATATATGCATGCATATCTCTTTACCAGAGATAAAGAGGGCCATTTCTTAATGATAATGAGGTTAATTCATCAAGAGGACATAAAAATCCACAATGTTTTTGCATCTGATAACAGAGCTTACAAATACATGATGCAAAAACTGATAGGATTGCATGGAAGAATCAATATATCTACAATTATTGCTAGTGATTTCAACACTTCTTTCTCCATAATTTTTAGAATTTGTAGAGAGAAAATTAGTAAGGATAGAGGAAACAAACAACACCATCAACCAACTTGACCTAACGGAAATTTATAGAATCCTCCACCCAGCAACACAGAATACTCATTCTTTTCCAGTGCACAAGGAACATCTATCAAGATAGACCATATTCTGAGCCATAAAACAAATTGTAATAAAAGTATTGCAATAACAAAGTGTGTTCTCTAGCTACAATGAAACAAAATTAGAAATCAAAACAGAGGGATGTCTGGAAAATTCCCCTAATACTTTGAAATCAGATAATGTACTTCTAAATAAGCCAAAGATCAAAAATGAACTCAAACAGGAAATGAGAGCATGTTACACTGAATGAAAATTATGACACAACATATCAAAACTTGTGAGAACTAGATCAGTACTTAGAGGGAAATTTACAGCATGAAAAGGCCTATATTCTAAAGAAGACGGATCTCAGATTAATTAACTCAGTTTCCGCTTATAAGATTGGAAAAAGAACAGAAAATTAAGCTCAAAGTAAGCAGTAGCAATGAAATAATAAAGAAAAGAACATAAATCAATGAAATTGAAACCAGAAAGACAATAGAGAAAATTAATGAAATTAAAAGCTGATTCTTTGAGAAAATCAATAACATTTATAAATTTCTATCCAGACTGATCAGGAGAAAAAGACAGAAGACAAAAATTACCAATATCAGAAATGAGAGACGGGACATCACTACAGATTCTACAGGTACTAAAAAGCTAGTAAGGGAGTATTATAAAAATATTTACATCAATAAATTTGACAAATTAGAGGAAAAAAGACAAATTCTTTGAAAGACGTAAAATGCCAAAGCTCATTCAAGAAGAAATAGATCATCTACATACCCTTATACAGATGGAAGAAATTGAATTTGTAGTTAAAACCTTCCCGCAAAGAAAACTGGGCAGTTCTACCAAACATTTAAGGAAGAAATAATACCAGTTTTACAGAAATTTTCCCAGAAAATTGAAGAGGAGGAAACACTTCTCAATTCTTTTTGTGAGGCCAGCAAAATCCTGATACCAAAACCAGAAAAAGACATTACAAGAAATGAATACTACAGAACAACATTCTTCATGACCACAAATGCAAAGATTTTTAAACAGTCCATCAAACCAAATACAAAAATATATAAAAAGGATAATTCATTATGCCAAAATATGCTTATCCCAAGAATGCAAGGGTGATTTAACATTGGAAAACAAGTCAATGTGGGTCCTCATATTAACAGGCTAAAAAAGAAAAATATATGGTTAGCTCAATAGATAAAGAAAAAAAGATAGAGAAAATCCAAAATTCATTTTTAATAAAATCTCTCAGCAA